CACAGCCATCACCAACAACTACAAACACAACCAAATCAAATCCACATAGGAAATCCAATCCACTTCCGCCAAGGACTGCTATTCCACCACAGCCAACCAGTGCGCTCCCTCTCAATAAAATCCGTCACAACTCCGTCACAGCCAACCCACGAAGCCAAGGAAAATTCGTCTCTTCGGCAACAGGATAAGCCCAAATAATCAGGATTAAAGAATATGCTCAAATAATCAGCAGGAAATTCTTGAGATCTAACCAGATCCAACCAGGCAGCAAAGGCTAACATACGTTCTTGATAGTTACAAATCGACGAATTTCACCGCCGATAAAACCTACCAAAGCAGAGCTTGTTTTGAGATACAGTGGTGGTGGGTTTTTGAGACACCACCACTGCACCCAACCGTCGGCGAGAGAGAGAGTCCGATGGTGATAGTGGCGAGAGAGGAGAGCGGCGAGAGAAGAGAGAGGTAGAGTGAGAAAATGTTTCCTCGAAATGAAGGGGGAAGGGGGAAATGACCTGGAGAGCATGGGGCGGCGTAGTGGTGGCGGTGAGGGAGAGGAGAGGACTAAGACGGAGAGAGCGAGAGAGAAATGTGACACGTGAATTTAGGGTTTGAATTTAGGGGGTGGGGTGGGTGTATGTATATATTAATTTTTATAATATTATTATTAATATTTAATTAAATATAAAAAAGTAAAAAAAAACTGTATTTATATATAAAATATCTGATTTTTGAAAGTTAAAACTTGAAATCTGATTTATGAATTTGAATCTTGAAAAGTATGGTTTTATGTAATTACCACTATTTTATATCTTAAGTTTGTTTGTGTAGCCCATTTAAAAAACAGGCTATGAAGGGTCGGCCCATTTAAAGTAATGAAAAGTGGAAATTACAGCCCATCGAAATTTTTAAAATTCCAATTTCAAAATTAAGATTTACAAGTTTTTATTTCAAAAATCTGATGATAATTCCCATTTCCAAAAATTGAGATTGCTGGATTCGAATATGTGGTTAGCTGCTGGAAAATCAGA